CAGTATGTAATACATACAACATACAAAATATGTGTTAATCGACTGTTTATGTTATCAGTAAGGCTTCGGGTGAACAATAGGCTATAAGTAAAGTTTTGGAGGAGTCAAAAGTTGTACAGGAATTTTCGACTGCACAGAGGTTGGCATGCCTTACCCCTGCTTTGTTCAAGGTCAACTGTATATGTTATGGCAAATTATGAGAAAAAAAATTATACATATCATCTTTTCCCTTCTCACACTCTTGCTCTTTTGAGAAACCATTCCACATGCCTTTCTGTAATAAAATAGCATATAGGCATCTCGCACATGTGAATCCATTTTCAAAGGTATATCCACCTCCCACGTCCTTAATCAGAGATGATATGTAACTCAACAGCTTCTCCAAATCAGGCAATCTGACAAAACAAAACAAAACAAAAAAAAAAAGCAGCAATACAGTCCTGGAATCCAGAGAGGGCAATTCTATATTGCCTGACATGTGAACAGAATGAGATCCAAATGACACCAGTCCACATAACATTCTCTATAGATGAAAAAGGATATTTAAAATAGTAAAGCATCTTTTCTGTTTCATTATGAAATGTGAATTGTGCTTTACCACTGACTTGAATACTGTCAAAACAAAAAACTGCTTAAATGAACTTATTCAAATCCAAACTATGGCTTATGAAAAATTAAAATATTTCAAAATATTCTTTTTGGAGGAAATTTGAAAATCTGCTTAAAATAGCCATGCTAGAACCTTTCTGTATTGGCATATCAGCTCCAGATAAAAATGCTAATCTATGCTATAATCACATTATCTTCCTAAGCAGCACTGAAAAGGTATTTGGCCACTGTCACAGCATTCACTTAACAATGGCTAGCCCAGGGGTCGGCAAACTTTTGAGACAGAAGAACTGCCAGGGGTCAGCAAACTGCGGCTCGCGAGCCACATGCAGCTCTTTGGGTACGTACATGTGGCTCTGAAGTAAAATTGAAAATGAAAATAAAACTATCATAATTTCATTTATAAAAATTTTAAAGGATATTCTTCACATAATGATTTCATTTGTTTTATGGCTCTCGAGTAATTTTTAAATTGTTGTGAGGGACAGGATTGGCTCTTCCAGGGGTTGGCAAAGAGCCCATGTGATCGCAAGCCGCAGTTTGCCGACCCCTGGTCTAGCCCATGGAAGCAAAGAGTCACTAATTTAGAAATCGAGCAACCCAGTCTGCTAGCCCTCTTTCCCCGGGAAGACTATTACAGCAGCACTGCCAACACCATCCTAACAATATATGCCAGCCATAGACCCCTTCATGATTTATTATCATTATAATTCAAATAATCCTAAAAGTTGCCCCAAGTTGTAAAACTCAATGTGTATCACTCAACAAAATACACGAAGTTGTCTGCTGAACAAAAGCAGAGGCAAACTTCACTGTAAGCTAGAACACTGGAATAGCTACCTGCTTTTTACAGTAATCAAAAATTCTCTCATTCAAAAGGATGGGGGGGAGTAACTGCACTTTTATATATGTAAACATTTATCGTTATTACTGATACACGCTTACTGCAAAATTGAAAATACAGTAAGCATTAAAAGTAGTAACTAGAAGAATCCATAATCAATAAGATAAAACTACAATATAATTAATCAAAAGCCACACCAATTAAGTTACAACATTAACCCTATGAATCATATGTAGGCTCTTTTACATAAAAGGCCCATTTTGTCAGTTGCAGATCCTATCCATTTTAAGATCACATTTGTGGTAAATTACAGTAAGAAAGGGGAAGGAAAGAGGGAAAAAAAAACAACCCATTACAGGATGTTGACAAGTGTTAACTACCACGGTTTTAGAATGTATTGGTTAGCACACCACATACCACTAAAATAATATGCCAGGTTCCTCCAACACCAGGTTTGGCTTTCGATTTGAGCCTACTCAAGTAACAGAAGTCTAGTGTAACAAAATATTCTAATTTTCATACCCTAAACTCTCTTAGAAGAAAACCTGTGTACTTTCCAGTCTCAATTACCAAATAGTTCTTCAATCCAACTCAATTGTTCTACAGTTTCATTTGCACAAATAACAGATTTGCTGTCTCTCCCTTTATTACATCTCCATGAATTGTGGCCCAGAGATACCAATTATAAAGCACAAAGGTAACGAAAATACTGACATAGTGCCTGGGGTGCATGTTATCTCTAGGACTATCAATACCTAACCACAGATCCCCAAAGAGAGTGCTTACAAAAAACTGTCTACTTGCCAATCACCAGTGAACTCATACTGGGTTGTTAATAACTTTATCCTAATGGCTACTTTTTTTCAAAGTCTTTCTAACAGGCTCATGGAAATGTTTCAACTGGTGCTCACAGATGTAATTAGCAAGAACGCCAATGCCGTCCCTGTGCTAAAATACAACTCAGTGAGGTTAGGATTTTGTGTATCTTGTTTGTCTATAACCCCAGTGCCTGCCACCTAATAGATACTTGATAAATACCCATAAAATGAAATTGTATAACAAAATTTACAGAACAGCCCCCAAATTTCAGTGGTAACAGAAATGTGTTAATTCATGTACTGCTTAAAAGCAAGAACATTTGCTAAAACTTGGGAATCTTCTAAACAGTGCTATTTATTTGTTGTCAGAGGATTTGACCTTTCCAGAAATTAAGGCTGACAGTTCACATCTATTCTGAGGCCTACAGGGATGAGTTTTTGCAACAAAAGCAAACAAAAATTGCATTTTTTTAGAAGATAAATGACTTTCCTCTCTACCCCAAAACCATGATGAATGAAAATTAAGAGAATTTGGGGAGGAAAGAAACCTTTGAGTCTAATTATCAAACAGATGGGCTCCAATTTCAGAATATTAAAACTGCCTGCCACCAATTTATTCCAAAACTTTTGCATAATTACGTACCTAGGATAGCATTTTATCAATTGCATTCTACTTTTTTTTTTTGGGGGGGGGGGTTAAGCTAAGAAGTTGGCTTGAGTTAGAGAAGTTATAACTGATGAATAGCACAATCTTCCATATTTATGGCTTTCACTTACCAGGGAGAAAATCAGTGAGGAAAGATTAAACTGTCACTGTAAATAGCCCTCTCTTCCCAGTTTTCAAGCTAGTGTTCTCCACTACTTCAGCCAACAGTTTCCCTGTTCTCTCATCCCATTTTTTTACTGTATAACAGCTTATTGTTTTGTTTTCTGATTTGTATGTTTGCTGTAGCCACGTCTTAATTTTCCCAAAGATTTAGGAGGTATACACTTCCAAAGTGCTTCCCTGCCGTGCCATTAATAACAGTGTTGGATAATGTCTGTCATTTATTCCCCTCATTTGAATGTAAGTACTAATAGAGCAGAGCTGGTGCTGTCCTGCTGAGTACTACAGGATAGGTTCTGAGTGTCAACTACAATGAATGAGTGAATGAATGAATGAATGAATGAATGAATGAACGAACGAATTGGAAGGCAATGGCATTACTATATGTGCTTCTTTGCTAGCTAAGTAGGCAATATCTGAGATGGTATCACAATTTCTATTCAGCTTTATGCAAACTCGGATGCTCTTTAGAGCGCTAACTTGAGTATTTGCAAATAAATTTATGAGCAAACAACACTATTTGACACACACAATTAGAGAAGGTGCTAAAAAACACATCCAGAACAGTTTATTCAAAGGGCAAACAATTACAGAAGATTCCTTAGGACGAGTTTCCAGTATTCCATTACCATTGATCTTCCTAAAAAAACCACTGCTAAATGACTTCACTGTCTGGAGACTGTTTTTCCTCCAAGTTTTGAGAATTTATAAGTGAAAATACTGAACTAATTAAGGACTCCTTTCCAGGGCCTTACAATAATCTTCAAAAAGATTGGGGGGTTAGGGGTTGTTAAGGAAACCGCTAATAAAAACACGTGAAAAGCAATTTTCCTGTTAGTTGTGAAAGGCTGGAAAATTTTCACTGCAGCCTCCCTCCTCTGCTGGTCACAGAGTAAGGATTGGAAGTCGGAAAATTTATAACACCTCCATGCCCTTTGAGTCAGGAACTACGAAGGAAGAAGAGAATCACAACTGTGGGGGCACATGTATTCCACATGAAAGCAGGAAGTCCGTCTCTTGAGCACTGGCTGCCGGTCCAGCATCCCAAAGGGGGACACCGGCCTTTGGAAAGCCCACCGCACTCCCCTCTAACCGCGAGGCCAAAGCCAGCCTCACAGGGAGAGGCGAGTTTACCAGGCTGATGAAAGGAGCAGCAGCAAGGAGGCTCCGGACACCTTTCTCTTTCTACTTGGCCTGCGGCAGGAGGATACTCGGGTTCTCGCCAAAAGAGGAGGAGGCGGGCCAGACAGAGTCAGCAGCGACAAGAAGCCTTGGCCTCGAAGGAACGCGGCTCGTCCACGCGGCCGAAGAACTCACCGAACAAAGCACAGCGCGGACCGGGTGGGGAGACGGGAAAGAAGGGGAAAGATTCACCCCAGCTCTTCACCACTGCCTGGAGCTAGAGACAGGTGGAGCCGTGCTCCTCTTTATAGGGAGAAGAAGGATGGGTTTTCGAGGGGCTTATCGGAACTCCAGCGCCAAGGCAACCGGAACTGAGACCCCGGCCGGGGAGAACGCCCAGGGATAAGGGGGCGAGCGCTGCGGAGAGAAAGGAAGAAGGGTCGGGGTCGCGGGCGGGCAGGCAGACGGGCCCCGCCAGCTGGCCGGGGTCTCGCCCCCGCCGTGCCGAGGATGCGGGTGGCGAGGATGCGCGTGGCGCGCTGCCCGCCGCCCCAGCTCGGGCCTCCTCGGCGCCACGGCCGCCCGCCCCCTCGCACCCGCGCCCCGGGCAGCCACACAAAGGGGATGGCGAGGCGCGCCGGCCGCGGGGCGGGGAGGGGGCCCCGGGCCCCGGACGAGGTAGCTGGACCGCGACGCCCGCCGCGCCCCCGCCTTTGTCTGCCTCGCTCCGCGCACCCCCCCGCCCCCCGCCGTGGAGCCCCGCCGCTCGCGGCGCCCTCACCCTGCTCGTTACCCGGGTGAGTAGCGGTCTCATCTGCTCGCCGGCCCCATCTGCCTCCATGGCCAGCTGGCCAGCCCGCGGCGGCCGCTACGGTGCTGCCCTGCGCGATCCGCCTGCCGCCGCCGCCGCTGCCGAGACGCGAGCGCGCGAGGGGCAACGAACGCGTGTCCGTGCGCGAGATGCGCGCGAGTGGGGAGAGCCGGATGCGCGAGAAGAGGGGCGCGCGTGTGCGCGCCGCAGCCGCGGGGCTGGCTGCCTCTCGCAGGACAGCGAGGCCACAGCTTGGAGCGTGGAGTGGGAACTGAGCGAGTGGCCGGACGCGGCGGAGGAGGAGGAGGAGGGAGTAACATAGGGGTCCGGGGGCGGGGCCGCAGCGTGACGCGCGCTCAGCCCGGGCCCCGCCCCGGCACGCCCTCCGACCCGCCTCCTCGCTTCACGCCCCCTGCCAGTTTGGCACCGCCAGCCTCAGCAGCTCCCCCGCCGGCCCGGCCGCGAGGCCACCCGGAGGTGGGGCGGGAGGGAGGCGTGTCCCAGCCAATTGGCGGCTCGCAGGATTGCGCACGAGCCCCACCCCCTGCCTCCGCCACCTCCTCTTGAGGCCCCGCCCCTCTTTGTAAAATCCTAACTGACTGAAACTAAACGTCTAACTCGTTTTTCCGGTCGGAGCTTCCCCTGAGGTTCGGAAGTGGGGTGGGGGTCACCACCGGCCCTAGCTCCTCACCAATCTCTTTAAAGGCAGGAGGAAAGGAGGACGTCACCCTTTTCAAGGGTGCTCACGGGGAACCCCAGAGAAACTAACGGGTCTTCAGGACTCCTGCAATTTTCTTCCCCCCCTCCGGTCAGTAGGCATGAACCCCAACTCCGGGCCTGTGAAAGAGGGAGTACTACTGTCCACGTATCCTCGTGTGCTTGCCCATTGACTGGGCACCACAGCGGCTCACACCCTCTTGAATCCACCCTCTAGGGCGCCTCTCAAATGGTCACAGCTCTGCTGGGGATGATGATGGTACCTGCCACACGTGGCCATTGAGGGATTAAGCGAATTTCTATCCATCAATGTGCCTAACACATAGCATGTATAGGCATTATCGTTAACAGAGTTATCTTGCGTGTGTAAAAAAGATGATAAAACGGTTAGTTGAGAAGAGCTAAATCAGTGCTATGGAAGGACCCGGTATTACAGGGAATCTGGAACTCATATTCTATTCATCTCCAACAGGATATTAGTAAAGCCTTTGTCAGAAATAGTTACCGATGCTGGATGCCTGGTTCCTGGTTTGGGTCCTAGTCCCCCTTTGTTCTAACTTTCTGAGTTACTCCCGAGACTGGCACACGTTATTCACTTACTTATACAAAAGCAGATGTACTTCTGTTATAAAATAGTTACCATTTAAAGAGGCCTACAATTAGAGACTGTGACATTTTGCCAACATGCTGCATCTCTAATCCTCACAACGCTACAAAATATGTTTTATTATCTCTACTTTACAGATGAGGAAGCTGAAACTCACGCAGTTAACTGGTTTTAGATCCTAGTTAGTGGAAGTGCTCTTTCTATTGTACTAGTCTAATGCTTCCTTAAAGGAAATTGAATAGGGAAAAGGGGAGAAAAGGCCAACATCCTTTAGGACCTAGTAGCATTTTGGGTGACAGCTGAGGATGTGGCTAAAGTAGTAACAGGAACAAAGTAGGAGCCAAGACCTTTGGTGCCAGAGTTGAAAGAGCTAAGTAGTCAATTTCAAGGAGGATTTGAAAACATATTCTTGGGAGACCATGCTAGCAAATGGGTTTCTCTTAATCCATTTTGCAGAAAGAAAAAGATAAGCCCTTGGTTTATTGAGTCCACAGTTCTTTTTTGAGTAACTTCTGTGTTGCCATGTGCTTTTTCCACACTCCTCAATTCATTCCAGCTGCTAGAAAAAGAATGTAAAAATATCTGAATTACAGAATTTATTACTCTCAACTGCCCACTTAATTCAGGCTCAGCCAGAGTTCATCCTGATGTGAATTGAAGGTTGTAGTGAGTAAAGAAGATAATGTATTAAAATTGCTTTCATGGAAATGGAGATGGCTGTAAAATGTTCCAAGGTGCTGAAAGCCAAATTGTTCTCTTAAGTATTTTAAATATCCATCCAAAATGTAGCAGGGAAACATTTGCTAAGCAAAGGAGAATGTGAACCTAAGTTCATCACTAACAATGAACTTGTAGCACCTAAAATTGACATTTAGCTGTATCCCAAATTCAGGACACTTCCTGGGTTTCTGGAACAGTAGGAAATACTAGCAGGGACTTGGACACAACCTCTTGGCAAGATCTTTATCCTGAGAAGGGAATGATCTTCCCCCAACAGTTCTCCATGAGCCAGGGCATATTTTGTAAAGACAAATAGCAGCTTCTTTGTCATTTTGAAAAGCCTGGAACCATCCTTAACCTTTTGCAGAGGATCCTTTGACAGTTTCTTTATGGCGTCTACTTAGTCATAGCCCCAAATTTAAATGTTCCCAATTACCTGATCCTATAAAGAAAACTAAAATCTTTGGAATAGTGCTTACAAGAGCACCAGGGCTGCCTCAATGAGTGAAAGACAAAAGGAAAAGAATTGAAAAAAGTGTCGCCTTTATTTCTGTAGGCTAGGCCAACAGAAATTCTTTTAAGAGAGAAAACAACAGCAAGCAAACAAAAGACCTTGTCTCTGATCTCATAGAGTTCTAAGTGGAAGGCAGTGATGTCTAAACAAATGCCAGCAATGCAATGTGTACAGTTCTAATACAGCCGCAGGAATCTCAATGGAAGAGAATGTGGTAGCTTTTGCCAGAGGTGGAAGGGAATAGAGAGTTGCCACCTGTGAGAAAAGGATGTACATAAAGGTGTTGGAAAAAGCCACAGAGAAATAGAGCAGATTTAAACTGAGTCATGAATGAAAATGGTATAATTTCATCAAATGGGGATGATGGGAAGAAGGAAGGGCATTAGGGACAGAGGTTCTAGCAAGATCAATGGTACTGATGTGAAGAAGCAGGATTGCCCAAAGGTGAAGTATTCCCCCCATTCCCTCTGGAGGCAAACCGCCTGGGGCTAATTCCTTTTCTGCTAGTGTTTGTGCTTTTAGGCAAGTTACCTCACCTTACCAGACTCATTGAAACTGTAAATTGGGGATAATAGTGGTAGTCTCCTGATAGGTTTGCAAATGATTAAAGGAGATTACCAAGTACTATCTAACATATAAGAAATGCTCATTATGTTTTTTTCTGATTATCTGGTTGGGAAATCCTGAAGTGGGAGAAAGGCTGGCTCAAACTCATAAAAGAGGAAGGGCATTCTATACCAGGTCCCATTAGAATGAAAACTCCTCAGGTGCAAGGACTCTCTATATCTGCCTTGTCACTGGGAACGTTCTGGCATTCCTGGCACATAGTGGCCACTTAAAAAATGTTGAATGAATGAGTGAAAGCTAAGGAAATTGGATTTTTTTCTACATACTCGTACAATTGCAGACCCACCATTAGAGGGTATTAAGGAAGTGATGTGACTATATTATAATTCAGCCATGTGATAGATAGAATGGAAAGGAGAAACGCAAAGAACAAGGAGATATATTGGAACTGCAACACTCTATGGTGACTAGAGAGCACTTGAAATATGGCTAATTTTAATTGAGAGGTGTTGCAAGTTTAAAAGATTTGACACACACAAAAAGAATGTAACCTCATTAACCTTATATTGATTACATGTTGAAATGATAAAATTTTGATACATTGGGTTACATAAAAATTATTAAAATTAATCTCACTTATTTCTTTTGACCTTTTTTAATGTGACTACTAGAAAATTTTGAATTACATATATGGTTTACATTGTATCTCCAGTGGGGGCCCTGGGCTACGAAGCATGGACTAAGGCAATGATAAAGGAAATGGAAAATGTAAGTCAGACATAAGAGATAGTTCTGAAGTAAAATTAAGGAGCATAGTGACTCCTTAGATATAGAAGCTGCAGGAAGAACAATCAAAGATGACCCCATGTCCTTGGACAGGTTGAATTGGGTGTCCTCAGGGATATCCAGCTGGAGATGAATAAACATACCTGGAACTGAAAGCCGAGCTCTGAGCTAGTGGTACATAGTTCAAGAAACGTATCTGTCTCTACTTAAGCAACAAAATCCCTAGGCCAGTATCCTCCCAGACATTGAGGGGCTATTATTACTCAAGGAGTCATCCAGAGAGAGAGAAAAAGAAGGATATAGATTGCTAAGATCAAGCTAAATATGACAGTGAGTCTATGCGTACATATTCAGTTCGTCTACAATGTAACATTGACATCACTATCATTCCCCTGGGGGCCTCTTCCTTGGCAGGGACACTTCCCCTTCAAGACTTAAAAAGCATTTTAAGGGAAAAAATATTTGCAAATGACACATCTGATAAAGAGTCGTTATCCAAAATATATAAAGAACCCTTAAAACGCAACAACAACAACAAAAACAGTTTAAAAAGTGGGTCAAAGACCGTAACAGGTACCTTACCAAAAAGGATGTACAGGTGGCAGTTAAGCGTATGAAAAAATGCTCCACATCACATGTCATCAGGGAAATGCAAATTAAAACAACAATGATATGTCACTACACACCTTTTAAAATGGCAAAAATCTGAAACACTGACAACACAGAATGCTGGTGAATATGTGGAGCAACAGGAATGCTCATTCATTGCTGTTGGGAATGCAAGATACAACAGCCACTTTAAAATACAGTTTGGTAGTTCCTTACAAAAAACATACTCTTACCATACAATCCAGCAATTACACTCCTTGGCATTTATCCAAAGGAGTTGAAAGCTAATGTCCATACACAAACCTGCACACAGATGTTCACAGCAGCTTTATAACTGCCAAAACTTGGAAACAACCAAGATGTCCTTTAGTAGGTGATCAGATAAACTGTGATACACCCAGACAATGGAATATTAATCAGCACTAAAAAGGAATGAGCTATCAAGCCATGAAAAGATATTGAAAAACCATAAATGCATATTACTAAGTTGAAAGAAGCCAATCTGAAAAGGCTACATACTGTATGATTGCAACTATTGACATTCTGGAAAAAGCAAAACTTATGAACATAGTAAAAGATCAATGGTTGCCAGGAATTGGGATGTGGGGTTGGGGGCCGGGGGGGAACGGATGAATAGGTGAACACAGAGGATTTTTAGGACATTGGAAATACTCTGTATGATACTATAATGATGGATACATGTGATTATACATTTGTCTAAACCCATAGTATATACAACACCAAGAGTGAACCATTATGTAAACTATGGACTTTGAGTGATTACGATGTATCATTTTAGGTTCATC